TCCCTAGTCCCCACCTACTAAAGATTCTACCTTTCCTTTAGTGCTACTAGATGATGGCCAAGCTTTTAACACTTGGCCTTTGGGGGACATTTTAAGGTCCAAACCATAACAGAATCTTTACTGTCCCACTGTTTCACCCCGTTTGGCCTAAAACATTGATTGGTTGACTATACCCTCCTGCTAAAATTTGAATATCAATAATTGGCATTTTAAATTTTATATTCAAATTTTATATTTTATATTCAGTATAATATTCAATGTAATATGTATTTCATCTTTATCTTTTTTTCTCTGTATTTTAAGGAAGGGTCTACAGGGTGTTCAGAGTCTCACTACTAGATTGAACTTTTAGTGATTCTCCTGTTTATAGCCTCCCAAGTGCTGGGATTACAGGTATGTACCACCGCGCCAAGCCCCAGTTACAGTCTCCGTGTGCCCCGGGGATGGGGCATCGCAGCAGGCCCGGGGATCCGATCTCGGGCTTTATCCACTGAGCTATTTGCCGGCCCCATCTTTATTTTCTAATATGTATTTGACCTTCTGATTTACATTGCCTTGAATTTAGGAATCCCATCTTTTACTTGGATTTTGGAGGCATTCATGAAATAGCCTTGTCTGGGGGAAATGTTCTTGACTGGAGTAAGGTGGCAAAAATAATATAACATCTTGAATGAACTGGAATAATTTCTTTTTTGAGAAAATCACTTTTGTCTTTGTTATTAGTGCATAGATGTATACACTGTTCTCAAAGAATATGCTAATTGTGGTTTTTATGTTCCTCTTATTCTTATTACTATATTTTTATGGGGGAAAGTCTGACTTTAGAGACTATAGTTTGCTTTCTAATTACTGTTTTTTTGCTTTATCCTTTAATTGTACTGCCTTTTTGGTTTATTTTGTTCCTTTTTGGTTTCTTGATTTAGCTGCTTAAAATCTTTATTGTATAATAATAGAAGCATTTAGAGAGATGTTCTCCAAAGCTTTGGCTTATTTTTTACATTTTGAAATGTAGGTTCTTGTTTTAAAATTTATTTTATTTTATTTTATTTTTTTTGCGGAACCGGGAATTGAACTCAGATCCTTTCGTTTGCCAGTCAAGCGCTTAACCTATTGAGCCATCTCCTGGCCCTGAAATGTATGTTCTTTATTGTTTGTCTTAGTAGTTGAGTTTTGATTTTGATTTCTTTAGTCTGTAATTATGATGAAGAGATTCATTTAACATTCCTCAAATAGACTTAATTATAAAGAATGCATGATTATACCAGGAGTATAAACAAGGACCTCTGAAATGGGTATGTTTTAGGAGTTGGTGTATCTTTATTACTTGTCACAGTTTCTCTATTTAATTTGTGTTTGTTTTTGAGATGGAATCTTGTCTTTGTGTGTTGCCCAGGCTGGTCTTGAACTTCCTGGATTTAAGAAATTCTACCTCAGCTCAGACTGCTGGTATGTGGGCTTAGCCACATAAATTCTGACATTAGCATAGTTACACTTTTGGCATATTATGTTAATATTAGGGATTTTTAAAATTCCTACTTAACAGGGGCCAGGGAGATGGCTCAGAGGAATAAGCGCTTCCCTGGCAAGCGCAAGGACCTGAGTTCAATCCCCGGTTCCACCAAAAAAAAAAAAAAAAAAAAAGAGAAAATTCCTACTTAAAAATGAAGATGTAAATTGTTTTAGTATTATAGCTAGAATGCACAATATTAATAATATGATTTGTCAGCTTTCCTCAGTAGGTATTTGTGCCCTTATATTATACATCATAGCAGATGAAGAAACCTGCAGGATTAGTATTGCTTGAGGGCCGGCCATAGCTCAGTGGACTAAAGCTCCTGTTGAGGCAAAGTGCAGTGGCCCCGCCTGCGGGGCACACTGAAATGGCGATTGAGATTAGGTGTGGTGGTACATACCTGTAATCCAGTATTTGGGAGGCTGAAACAGGAGGATCACTATGAGTCTCATCTGTGTAGTGAGACCATGTAGACCCTGCACTAAATACATAAAAAAATTAGTATTGTTCTTGCCATAATTTCTTTCTTTCTTTCTTTCTTTCTTTTTCTTTCTTTCTTTTATTTATTTTTTTTTTTGGTGGAACTGGGGATTGAACTCAGGCCCTTGCGCTTGCCAGGGAAGTGCTTATTCCGCTGAGCCATCTCCCCAGCCCGATTTTGCCATAATTTCTAACCTTGTAGAATTTCCCCAAATGACAGGCTGTTTTGTTATTTCCTTATGCTCAATAATGGAAGACTAGTCTCAGGGAAATCTTTTCCTTTATTGATAATTACATGCTACTATCATGCTTTCCTGCTTTTCTAAATGTAATGTCTTCACTTTTGTTCATAAAAGTAATGTTTCGCTTGTATAATACTCCAACTTTAAAATTTTTTTAAATTTTGTGTTTATGTAAATCTGATAAAAACATTGGTTTGAAGTCCTAGTCTTAATTTATATAGTTAGAATTGATTGATTATACTCCCAGATCTATGTATCTTTAAAATGTTAATCATACTAACATACTTTATATAGAGAAATTCCTCTGTGTGAAGTTACATAGTACTCCTAACTGAAGTATTGGAAGGCAGACTTAAGAGTCTTTGGGAGGCAGCAGCATGGAGTGCTGCTTTTAAAAATAAAATTAGGGGCCGGCAAGATAGCTCAATGGACTAAGCACCTGCTTGGAGCAAGTGCTACGGTTTGATCCTTCGCACCACATGCCGCACCGGCACTGCCCCTGGGTGCCTTGAGCCACACACTGAGACCAGGTGTGGTCTCGCATGCCTGTAATCCTATTGCTGGGGAGGCTGAAAACAGGATCAGTATGAGTCTGAGCTGTGTAGTGAGACCCTGCACCAAATACATTAAATAAATAATACATAAATAAAGTTATACTACAGATACAAACATCAGAGTTGATGGAGAAAAATACCTGAAATTATTCTTTCTAGACAGTATTCACGCAGCAAGGTAATCTTACCCAGGGAGGGCTCTGACTACACTCCCCATTAAAAGCATTCCTACTCAGGGGATCTGAAACCAGGTCTGAAGACTTCCTTCCTTCCTTCCTTTTTTTTTTTTTTTTTTTTTTTTGTGGTACTGGGGATTGAACTCAGGAACCTGTGCTTGCCAGGCATGAAAACTTCCAAAAAGTAGGTACCTATTTAGGAAGGGTTGGAATTCAGTAAAGTTTTCTAGGAAAACTTGTCTATAGAACTTTATTTAACTAGCACTTTGGAGATTTAAATGCTAAATAAAGAAGACAGGTTTGTTGTTATTGTGTTGTTTCTTTATTTTTTTAAGACAGTCTTGCTATGTAATTCAGTCTGGCTTTGAACTCACTTGTAGTCTAGCCCCCAGAGTGGTGGGATTATGGACCTGTACCATCATGTCTGGCCTGTTTTTAAATACACAACAGTGGTCAGAGGCATGAAGTGATTTTTTCAGGTTTCTAAATCTTGGTGCCAAAGCTTCACCTACAGCTGTTGATTATTGTCCTTAAGTTTTCCAAAGGGACCAGTTGAGTGTCACAGCTGGTATCTTTGACTATGACCTGGCAGTACTTTATCTTTGAATTATTTTGTAATAGGGACTATCCTATCTGCTCTTTCGAATTCAGTGGTTGCTTTTATAGTTCTAAGCTCTTTAGCTACTATTTGTTTCTTTTTCTTTTTCTTTTTTTTTTTTTTTTTTACTATTTGTTTCTGTATACTAGTCTCCCTTCGTTCAAGAATGTAAGACACATTCTCACAGTTTAGGAGTGTGCTCTATTGACAAAGAGGGGTGGGAAAACCCCAAGCTGTAGTGACTGAAGGGTCTCCTGAGGATAGGTTTCTGAAAGGACCAGCTTTAGCCTTCCACAAACTATCACTAGGTAGTACATGTGTGGGATAAACCTGATCCTTGTGGTTTAACCTCTAAATTCAAAATTGACTAGCAATCAGGTTGTTCAGTAATTCATGAGTCACGAAATGGTTTAATGTATTTATTAGGTTTTGTTGAATAAATAAAGGGTGAGGTGTGAAGGGCGGGCCAAATAGCTCAACAGATTAAAGTGCCTGCAAGCAGGTGCATGGGCCAGGGGTTCAATCCCCAGGCCGGCCCCACCCCCACTAAGACAGTGGTTGAGACTGGGCGTGATCCAGCCTGTAATCCCAGCTCTTGGGAGGCTAGCAACAGGTGGGTCACTATGAGTCTGATCTAGTAGTGAGACCCTGAACATGCTGTAGGCCCTGCCCTAAAGTACAAAAGAAAAAAAAAAGAGGTGTGAAACAGGCATTGCTTATACATTTACACTTAAGAGCAAGTCATTAGGTGATATGGAGGGTAATCTTGCCCTACAAGGTTTCAGATTCCTGTTCTATTGCTTTTTGGAAGTTTTTTTCTCATTTGAATATCCAGTTGGAAGTTTTAGTCATTTTACAATTCTGACTGCTAAATAAGTTTTTTAGCATTGTTTTAAAATGTCCCTGTTTTCGTATTTTTTCTGTTCTTAATGTTTGAGTTAGTGTAAAAAATTATAGATTACAATTGTCTTGATTTGGTAGATTTATTAATAAGCTCCAGAAATTACACATGTAACATTGGAAAAATTAATTTTTTGTTTGGTTAATTGGTAGTTTTGTAATAAACACGATATTGTGTGCTGGGAAGGCTTAGTTTTTAAAAGGAACATTCTAAGAATTGGTTATAGAGTTTGTAATCATAAAACGGGATTTACATGAGCATAATCATACAGTGAAGTGGTTGCTAGAAATCAGACTGTACAGATTACCAAAATTAAGAGTATAGTAAAATATAGCTTAACTGTATAACTTGAATGTAATTTTTATGGGGGAATGACTGAATATTATCAATTCTAAGTGGTATGTGAAAATGCTGGCTACTGGCACATACATATTTGGTAAATTACAGGAAAAAGTCAGGTTTTGTATTATATTTTAGAGAGGATTTTTACATGCTTGAAGATGACTATTGGCTTTTTCCCCCCCCTTTCCTTTTAGAATATGGTTTCTAGTTTTAGAGTTTCTGAACTACAAGTATTACTAGGCTTTGCTGGACGGAATAAAAGTGGACGCAAGCATGACCTCCTGATGAGGGCCCTGCATTTATTGAAGAGCGGCTGCAGCCCTGTGGTTCAGATTAAAATCCGAGAATTATATAGACGCTGATATCCACGGACTCTTGAAGGGCTTTCTGATTTATCTACAATCAAACCATCAGTTTTCAGTTTGGATGGTAGCTCATCACCTGTAGAACCAGATTTGGCTGTGGCTGGAATCCACTCGTTGCCTTCTACTTCAGTAACATCTCACTCACCGTCCTCTCCTGTTGGTTCTGTGCTACTGCAAGATACTAAGCCCAGTTTTGAGATGCAGCAACCATCTCCTCCAATTCCTCCTGTCCATCCTGATGTGCAGTTAAAAAACCTGCCTTTTTATGATGTCCTTGATGTTCTCATCAAGCCTACAAGTTTAGGTAAGTGTTAGAAAAAAATCAGTTTTTCCTGGACAAGAGAGTGAGTACAATGAAGATTTCATCGATTGATTAGTCCTGTAAAATTGAAGCATTTATGCCATTTTTTTAAGGTACAGGAAAATGATTGGTAACCATAACTGAAATCTAATATGAAACAGTTATTTCATATCATTTTGCATGTTTTTCCAATTTTTTGTGATATAATATACAGACTAACATCTTGACCATTTTAATATGTACTTTAAGTTTTAAGTATAGTTGTGATCTTATGTAGCCATCACTCACTACCAGCCATTTCCAGAATTCTTTTTTTCTCCTTTATATTACCACCCCCATACCCCATTTGGAGAATTGAACTTAACTGCACACGACAGCAGGTGCTGTGCCACTGAGCTATATCCCTGGCCCTCTTTTTATATCTTTTATACTTTTTTCTTTATATTTTAATGAGTTTTTTCTTCTTTAAAATTAATTTTATTGGCACGTTTTAGATAATACAATAATGATCACATTCCTTGTAGAGAATTTGTACCTGTACATGTTACAACTTGGTTTTTTCCACATTCCATTACCCTTCCTTCAACCCCTCCTCAACTCCCCATTTACAAAGCTTTGTTTCCATGTGTTCCTTTTTTTTAACCTTTTCCTTCTTTCCTTCCCCCTTCCTTGTTCCCCTTCCTATTTGCACATTTTTCTCCTATTTTACAATATCTGTTATAAATTTTTGGTTCTTACATGCACTTTTGGTTTCTCACACCAGTGAAACGTGGTATTCACACATGTGTGTCCAGGTTATTTAACTTAAGTGCATAGACTTAAGGTGCATCCATCTTCCTAGAAATGACTTGAGTATATCTAATGGCAGAGTAGTACTCCATTATGTCTGTTTGTCTGTCTATGTATCTGTCTATATAACAGCATCTTTATTCATTCACAAGTCAGTGAGCACTTAGGTTGTTTCCAGGGTTTGACTGTTACAAACTGCCACTATAAACACAGATGTGCATATATCACTGTGGTATGATGCTTTTAATTCTCTTGGGAAGATACCCAGGGTTGGGGGAATGGCTGGGTCAGGTGGAACCTAGGTTTTGTGAAATGCTCACACAGATTTCTACAGTACTTATACCAGTCTCCTCTTTCACAAATAGTGGAGAAGTGTTCCTTTTTCCCCATGGCCTCACCAGTATTTGTTATTGCTTGATTTTTTTTTATATGAAATGTCATTTTTATTGATTAAAGTTGTGTCTACTTACAGTGTACAATATGGTATTTATGATACGGTGTTTACAATATGAAGATTAGCATGTCATTTCTTTGTTTAAAAAGTTTTTTTCATTTTAATGAGAAAAAAAGAAAATAGCAATGAAACAGTTTCAAAACAGGTTAGTAGGACAGTTACAATAATTCATGCATTGCGTATTGTTGCCTTCGTAGTAGTTATTCAGAGGACAAGATGTACACATGATATCTTTTCTAAACAATATGGTTGATTTTTTGATAGTAGCCATTCTTTCTGGAGCAAGGTAGAGTCTTACTGTTTTAATTTGCATCTCTTGAATGACGTGATGTTGAACATTTTTTCGTATGTTCATTAGTTGTTTGCATTTCTTCATCCTAGAAGTGTGTGTTCATCTCTGATGCCCACTTTTGGATTAGATCTTTAAATTAGAGATGTCTGATTTTTTTTATGTTTTATATATTCTTGGTGGTAGTCATTTGTCTGAGGAACAACTGGCAAAACTTTCCCCCACATTATGGATTGTCTTTTTTTTTTTGCGGAACCGGGGATTGAACTCAGGCCCTTGCGCTTACCAGGGAAGCGCTTATTCCACCAAGCCATCACCCCGGCCCCTTGGATTGTCTTTTCACTCTGTTGGTAGTTTCTCTTGCTGTGTAAAAATAAGATGAGATCCCAGTTGTTGATTCGTTGTGGTAGTTCCCGTGTAATCAGCATTTTAGTCATAAAGTCTTTCCTAATACCAGTGTCCTCCAAGAGTTTTACATATTATATTTTCCAGAAGACTTAATGTTTCCCTTTTTAAAAGGTTTTTTTTGGCTGGTTCAAGCTGCCTTAAGGGTGGGTCTGGTAAGGCATGGGGAGCTGGGGATTGAAAAAAACCAACTCAGCTAAACAGCAAGCCCCCTCTGTTTTTATATTTAGATCTTTAATACATTTTCAATTTAGTTTAGTGCATGATGAAAGATAATGGGTCCAGTTTTAATCTTTGGCATGTGTAGAGTCAGTTTATCCAGTACCATTTATTAAAGAAGTTATCTTTTCCTTTTAAAAATATATTTATTTATTTGGTACAAGGTCTCACTATGCAGATTGGACTTGTAGTGGTCCTCTTGTGTCAGCCTCCCTAGCACTGGGATTACAGGAGAGCATCACCATATTTGGTTTCTGTGACTGGCACAGCGTGCCCAGGGTACTGGGGCCAGCAGTGCATGTGGTGAGAGGGATCAAATCCTGGTCCCTGTACTTGCCAGGAAGGTGCTTAGACCACTGAGCTATCACAGCCCCAGAAGCAATCCTTTCATTGGTAATATTTGGCACCTTTGTCAAAGATAGGATAGCTGAGTATGTCTGCATCTTCTAATCTGTTCCATTGATCCATGGGTCTGTTTTTTCTGCCAGTACCATGCTGGGTTTTTTGTTTTTTGTTTTTTTAAATTTTATTAATTTGTGTGTGTGTGTGTGTGTGTGTGTGTGTGGCCAGCTTAGCCCACCAGGGGGCGGGCTGGCTGGCATGTGGTGCTGGGGGATAGAACTGTGGTCCCTGTGCTTTGCTAAGCTTGTTCTAACTACTTAGTTTAGACCACTGAGCCATCTCACCAGCCCTGCATGCTGTTTTAATCATGGTAGCATTATAGTATAATTTCAAGTTACCTTTTTTTTTTTTTTTTGGCAGAACCGGGGATTGAACCCAGGCCCTTGCGCTTGCCTGGGAAGCGCTTTTTCCACTGAGCCATCTCCCTGGCCCCTTAATTTCAAGTTGGGGATTGTGATATCCCCAGCTTTGCTTTTGCTACCCAGAATTGCTTTTGCTATTCTAGATCTATTCTCCCCCCCTCCCCCCAAGGATTGGACTCAGGACCCTGCACTTGCCAGGTAGGCGCATAGTCTACTGAGCTATCTCCCTGGCCCTCTAGATCTATTCTTGTTCCAAAAGAATTTTAGGATTGTTTTCTCTAGTTCTGTGATACATGGCTGTTGGATTTTGATTGGAATTGCATTTAATCTGTATAATAGTTTTGGAAGTGCAGACACTTTCCCTATGTTGGTTCTTCCTACCCTAAAATAAGGGATATCTTCCCATTTTTCTGATACAGTTTTCAGTCTTCTTTTTCAGAGTATTGTAGATTTCAGTGTAGAGGTGTTTTATATCCTTTGTTAGATTGATTCTTAGGTATTTCTTTTTTGGGGGGGGATGCTGCTGTGTTTTCCCTAGTTTCTCTCTCAGTGAGTTGTTTGTGTGCAGGAAGACTTGATTTTTCAGTGTTGAATTTGTATTCAGCTGTGCTACTGAATTTGTTTATGGAACCTAGCAATTTTTTAGTGGAGTTTTTGGGATCTTCTGGAGTATCATGTCATCTGCAAATAATAATTTAAATTATTCCTTTCCTTTTGTTACAGAATTCTTTTCATCTTGTGAAACTGAAAGTCTGTGGCTATTACATAACTCAGACCTACTCATTCTTTCAGTTTTTGAAAGAATTCTAGCATTCTACTTTCTTTTTAATTCTCTTGCTGGGAATTAAAAATAGTACACTGGGCATGCTCAAGACATGTATGTCACTGAGCTGTACCTCTAGTCCTACTTGTGTTAGTATGATTTTGATTACTCCTAGGTACTTCCTGTAAGTTGAATATTGCAGTGTTTGTTTTGAGACTGGCTTATATCACGTAGTTTTTCAAGATTTCATGTAGTTCATGGTGAAGTTTTCTTTTGTTCCTTTTTAAGGATAAATAACAGAATTAACACATTTTTAAAGAAAAAAGTGTTTTGTTTTATGTGGTACTAAGGATTGGAACCATTTCCTTCACACTGAGCTGCATTCCCAGGACTTTCCAAATTTAGAGACAGAGTCTTGCTAAATTGTTAAGTTGCCCAGGTGAAGGCTAGGCTGAATGTTGTGGTCTTCAGTCTCAGAGTTATTTTATGTGCTGTTTCAGATATTTATTTTCATGTTTCTTCAGTGTCATCTTCTACACTACATTTTATCTTCAATGGTCTCTTTTAAGTGCTTCCACTTTTTTAACTACTGTGGCTAATGCTCATAGGAACAAAAATCACATGTCTTCCAGGTGCTGCTTTCAATTCTGATTGTATAATGGAATTACTGTAACACATGAAAATATTTTAATTTTTTGAGGCATCATCTTCATGCTTTCCACAGCAGATGTTTCATTTTATATTTCCTTTTCTTTTTTTTTTTTTTAATTTATTTATTTATTGTGTGTGTGTGTGTGTGTGTGGCCAACTCAGCCCACTAGGGGGAGGGCTGGCTGGCATGTGGTGCTGGGGGATCGAACCGTGGTCCCTGTGCTTTGCCAAGCTTGTTCCATGTAGGTGCTTTAGACCGCTGAGCCATCTCGCCAGCCCTATATTTCCTTTTCTAAAAAAATTTATTTTTTATGTAGTTGGTACAGGGTCTACAGGGACTACAGGGTCTTACTATGTAGATCGGACTGGTAGTGATCCTTCTGTTTTCAGCCTCCAAAGTGCTGGGATTACAGGTGCGCACCATGCCCAGTCTTAGTCTCCATCTCAGCACGCCCTGGTGTGTGTGTGTGGGGGGGTGAGCACTGCATGATGGGGCTCAAATTCCAGCTGCTGTGCTCTGCCTAAGCAGGCGCTTTATTCCAGTGAGTTATCTGGCCAACCTCCGTATTTCCATTTTACACTTAAAAGAAGTTTCAGTTTTTACACATTCCTACCGGTACTTCTCCTGCTTTCTCCCTCCCTTTTCTTTCTGTTGTAGTCTTCCTATCT